GAGAGGAAACCCCTGAAGGAGATCTCCCTGATGTCCTTATGGAGGGGGGCTCTCTCGCCAAACAATAACCTCCTCCCCACCTTTCTGTCCTCCACGCCCAGGTTTGCCTTGCTTACAAAGATAGGCTGTTGACTATGACCCAAAGACCTGATGCAAGTACAAAAAAACATCCGTGGCTGATAACTCTCCTTATATATGTTCCAACACAGAAAGGAGGTTGCAAAAGTGTGAAATTGGGGAAAATCCCCAATACTCCTGCTTAACACTAACCCCAGCAGTGTAGGAAGGAGTAATTAGGTTGCCTATTGTCTGGGGTTGCTGCTTGCAGATTGAAAAGGTGTTTGCACTGCAGCTCATGCCTCCAACTAGCCACATCACTGGTGGAACGACATATAACGCATACAAAACGTGTGTTAATAAAGAGGTACTACAACCCTCAGCAACCAACACCCAAAAGGAGGATCACCTCCCAAGGCCCCCCCTCCCCACTGTGCCCTGCACAACAGTATGGGGGGTAGGAGGAAGGAGACTTCCCTTTAAGCCTTCCAACCTTCCTTTGGAGCCATTAGTGTCCGTGAATGACACAGCAGAAATCAGACTGCATGGGGTAGCACTGCCAACCAGAGGAAGCCTTGTGCAACACTTCATGTTCATGACTGCTTGTGGCTCCGTCCCTCGCCTGCTGCACTCCCTCCCTGGCGTCTGTGGATGCTGGTGCCAGGGGTACTCACCACTCCATTGCATAGCTGTCCATACAAGGAGGCCCTGGATGCTACAGGATATGAATATCCACAACATGGCAGCATACATAGGGAGCATGGATGGCAAACCGCCCCATTCAAGACAAGGCAGAGGAGAACTCTGAGCTGAACCAAATGTGAGTAAGGGAAAGCTCTGCTAGAGCCGATATGCACCAGGGGATGGTTGCTTTTCCTCAAGGCGGAGAAGAAACCTCAGGGATAGATGGGGAGGGAGGGTCCCATAATAGGATAACCTGGAGGTTAATCCTAGGATAAGCCCAGGCATGCAAGCCCCCCCGGTCCACTGTCCTTGATTCACGGGGGAGCACACACTGGGAGGCCCCGCAGGCCTATGGAGAAAATAACAAATGGTTACGATGCTCCTATTAGGCCGGAGGAAACACAATAAACTGAGGTGGTGGGGCTGTACCGCCCCTTTTATTTAAATTGTGGATGATGTGTTTCCAGTTTTAGGTGGGTGGATTCTCTCTCTCTCAAGTGCTGCCCTGGAATATGACTTGGGAAAGTCACTCGCACTCCAGCTTGGTTTCAGTCAATATTTATTGACCGCTGTAGTGTCACATCATAGCGACGTGTCGGACCCGCACGGTCCCTTCTTCAGGCGATCTGCCTGTACAAGGTGATCTCTGTGTTCTGTCATGTCTAAACACCTGTAATGGTGCAGTCTTAATAGCAGGAATCAGGTTCTTGTCGGTCTGTAAAAATGTTCATGTTTTTGAGTGTTGTCCTTTTGTATGGATCGTGATCTAAAATTGTAACTATGTAAAAAAGGAATCCTGTAGCTATTTTTCGGTATCCCCTTATATTGGGTCCTTTCTCTGGCCCGTAATAGAGCGTTATTGACCACATGGTTACACACCTCTTTGCAGGAATTTCCTACGCATCTTCTCAATGTGTATGTGGCATGTCTCAGGTTCTGAATAAATTCTCATTACCTTTTAAAACGTAACATTTATGATGGGTCTACTCTGAGATGTGTCCGTTCTCGTTATGAGGCTGAGCAGTGAATGAACGGGCATTGAGCATGTGCGACTTCATGGGGGTTAGTGCACGAGCGCCAACTGAGCAGGCCAAATTCGTCAGCGGGATCGCGTCAGATGGTAGCCATGGCGCGAGAGACGCCACCCGCCCCTATACGACACAGACGCCACCCATTTTCATATGGGGATGCACGCTGTGCTTACAATAACACACCTTCCTCACATGAACAAGTGTGCGGGGCGTGATCACAGCACTTCCTTGCAGCATTGTTGCCATGGTAGTGAAGTTGCCACCTATCCCCGCACAGATAGATGTGTGTGAGGGGGGTCTAACTCCGGAGCCATGTGGTAAGGAAGTGAGTCCGTTTTGTTTTTTTGTTTCTCTGGTGATGGCGCTGATCGAGGATGCTCAAAGAGATAGACCCATGCAGCATCACAAGGTACAAATGTTTACTTCAGTCGCATATGCAGATGCATTGTTATTGCTTATTACATTGAAATTGGTGGGGATGTGACATCATTGTGATGTCAAAGGAGAGGTTTTTGGCTTTTGATTGGTTAATTGGTTCACATAGTTATGTATATATTGTTGCGCGTTACTGGTGTTCACTCTTTGTTTGCCTGAAGAAGGGACCATGCGGTTCCAAAACGTTGCTATGATGTGACACTACAGAGGTCAATAAATATGGACTGAAACCAAGCTGGAGTGCGAGTGACTTTTCTACATTTACTTTGCGGTATTTAAAGTCGCAAAGCTGCAAAGAACAGGATTTAATAAGGAGTTGCGCTAATATTGCGCAACATAAAAATTTGCAACTACCACCATTTTATTCTATAGGGTCTTGGCATTCAGAAAATATATAATGTTGGGGGTTTTAAGTAATTTTCAGGCCTAAAATGTGGAATATAACATGGGTACAAAAAAATGAAAAAAAGGCCTCAGTCATGAAGGGGTTAAAGGCAAAATAACAAAAAACACATGCAGTACATCTCCCCTAAAGACCTGGCAAATGCAAAAAAATACCCCTTGATCTGCTAGAAATGCATTTATCTTTCAATTTCCAATTGTGGGCTGACAACACACAGCATTTTTATGCTCTCAGTAGTATTAGCCCTGCTCAGTGTTCTATTGCTGAACTTCGAAATTCACACTATGGTCTTCATTAGGGATGTCCAGATACCATTTTTTCAAGACCAAGTACTTTTCCTCAGGTACTTGCCGATACCAATTACTGATCCTTTTTCTTAACCTCCCTGGCGGTCTGATTTGTTGTTTTATATTGTAGGCCTGTAATTCTTGGGAATAACTCCCTTAAATCTGTCCAAACAAGAGTCTAGTAGACAACCCGGGTATGATAAAGTTTGAAACACGAAATCATAAATTATAATATAATAATTATAAAAAATAATAATACATTTAGTTAAATAATGTAATCAAACCAAAAACACTGAAATTTGTCAAAACAAGGGTGCAATATTACTAGTCACTGTAATGCTAAACACTGCATATTGGTTTAGTAAACATCCCGGATATGAAACATTTTGAAACATGGGACTGCACAAAGTCCAACTTCACAATCAGGACAATGGAACCTGGTTTCCTTTCTGATTTTTTTTCCACCATCACCTCGCTTCGAGCAACACACCACGCACATCCTTGTAGGTGCTGACTTTTTCTCGGTTGGTGGGATGTAGTCCATGAAGTGACGACCAGTCAGGCGTTGACGGTTGACACTACAGTGTAATTCTGAGTGTGGCTCGGGGTCACCGCTTTTGGTACTGAAAATTAACCACAAGCCACACTCTGGATTACCGCCAGGGGAGGTTAAAGGAATATTTGTGACTTTTTTAAAACAATACAGACTGATGATGTTAGGGCAGTTTCCTTATAAAATTGTGAAGAACTGTAACTCAATCCATGATTATTCAGCATTAGAGAATGGCAACCAGCAATAGAGGACTACAAATCCCATTCATCCATGATTATACAGCAATTATACAGGGCTGCGTGCGGGTCAGGCTCTACGGGCAGGTGCCAGGCTTGTGCCAGTCTTGGAAAGGCGGAAAAGGAGACGTGTGGCCTAACTGGCACTGTCAAAGACAGCTGCCGCGAGGTCCCCAGCAAGCAGCCTAAGATCCGCAGAAACCGCAAGACTTGTGAAAATGCCCTGTAACCGATACCAATAACGGTATCAGGACAGCCTTAGTCTTCATTTGTTGCAGGCAGGCGGAGCCTATATCTCGATGGCTGTCCTGGAAGATGACTGGGGAAATAGGCACTATTTCACTTGCAGTCTCACGATGAGAACTAGGGGAGCTAAACAGGCCTAAAAGAACAGAGAGGTGTGCAGGGAACAGCTGAATTTCTTACCAGATCAACAGGTTTATAAAATTTATAAAACGGACATAACAAATGCTTTGAATTGTATGTTTAGCTTGATTACCACCGAGACCCTCCCTCTGCAGCCTGAGTTCCATGCACAACACAGTTGCTGTTTAGGCCATGACAAGTTGGCCAAATCAATATTCCTATGTGTGCACCAGCAGCTCACAGATGTGGAGATTTAAATTAATCAAAATGTAGGTTTAAGGATCCCCCAAAAAAAACACTAGTCACTAGTTTCACATTTTAGCATATGAAGTTTTAGAGCAGTTTAATTACACTTTATTATTACAGAGTCTGTATCTCTGACTCTAAGTCCTAACAGGCCAAAAAGCTTTATTTGTCAACTGGATCTTGACACAAAGTTAGGTGCAAATAAGCCAACCATGTTTGAAGCAAGTGATTGCTAAACAAATGGCTACCTATGAAAATCGCACATGAACAGAGCATTGTGCGATCATGAGATATTAAGTACTACTTCATGCTATGAAGCCATTTGATCAGTGGTCATTTGCTACACCTAGCAATCAAATGGCTACCAATTATTGTAGCAGGACTGAGCTAATAAAAATCTCATGTGCAGCTCTAATCTATTCAGGTGACTGCCATAAATATCTTAGTAGCAAGATAATAAAATCACTTCAGTAGCCCTAGGCTAAAAATAACAGCAACATGCTGCCGCTTGATCCTAACCCAAAGGGAAAAAACACAACAATTAAGAGAAGCCACCTTAAATGGGACTGTTTTATTTTTGCCGGTTGCTTTTTTTCTGTCTTAGGTAGCAGTGGCCTCATGTTGGCTTTCCAGAAAAAGAACCAGAAAAATTAACTGAATATCGTTTGTATATATACACATACAGTCCATACTGATACTCACCCATTCATCCTGCAAAGACTTGAGTATTGCTGGAATACTTGTTGCAGAGGGTGGCTTTGGACGAACTGGGTGAGCAACTATAAGATGGCAAAAGAAAGCAAATAAAAAAAAAAATCAATTGAAATTCACTACGATGGAAGATACCGAATCCAGCCGCTAAAAGAAGCAAGTATTGAAGTTGATCAGAAAGGAAACTCGGATCAACAGTGACATATTTTTTCAAACCCGTTAGAAAATGAACATCATCCCAAAGGGACTCACGATGAAGAACCCACTCTCAACTACCCACAATTCACCAGCAGCTGAGATTATCTGCAGATGGAACAGTGAGAAACTACGTAACCTCCTAATTCATCAACAATATGGAAAAAGACAAAGATTAAACTGCCAAAGAAAATCCCTACTCCAGAGCCTTCTGCAAATTAACCCCTTCGTGAAGAACCCACTCTCAACTACCCACAATTCACCAGCAGCTGAGATTATCTGCAGACGGAGCAGTGAGAAACTACGTAACCTCCTAATTCATCAACTATATGGAAAAAGACAAAGATTACACTGCCAAAGACAATCCCTACTCCAGAGCCTTCTGCAAATTACACCTGAAGCCAAAAATTTGGAAATACAAATTGACTATTTCTACAGGAAAAAACAACAAAGCCTCATCAGTAAGAAAAAGAAGAAACTGGCAAACCTTGCACAGAACAAAGACGTCCCAAAAACAAGATTAACCAATTTCACCTCATCCTCTGTAACTACCTATGTCCCTATCCAAGCTGAAATGATCAACCAATGTGAAAGCTGCTCAGACAATACTGAGATTGTCAACCTCTCAAATCATCACCTCACAATACAGGAAACAGCAGTCCTATCCAAGGGGCTTACATTTTGTCCAAGCACCAAACTGGACCAAAATGAATTTTATATCCTTTTTTGGGGCCAGATAGAGCTTTCTTTTGGTGGTATTTAATCACCACTGGGGTTTTTATTTTTTACTATATTAAGGAAAAAGCACCGAAAATTTTGAAAAAAACACAACTGTTTTCCCTATGTTAAGCTATGAAAGTTTGCACATAAATAATCTTTCTTCATAAATTTAGATCAAAATGTATTCTGCTACATTTCTTTGGTAAAAAAAAAAAAAGTGTAAATTAATTACAATGTGTGAAAGTTATATAGTCCACAGACTATGGTATATATATTTGAATTGTATCAACCCTGGTGCCCTGACTGCTTATCGCATTTCTTGAGGCCCCAAAATGCAAGGCCAGTAGAAAGCCCCACAAAATGACCCCATTATAGAAAGAAGATACCCCAAGGTATTTGATAATGTGCATGTTGAGTGTTTTCTAGGTTTCATTTTTTGGGTAAACGTTCACAGAAAATGAAGAAATTGTTTGTTTTTTACAAAAAGTTGCCTGTTTAAAAGATATACCTAACACACAGCATGGGCACACATACAATTGTACCCCCAAAAAATATTCTGCTACTCCTTCCGAGTATGGGGATATCAAATATGTAAAACTTTTTTGCGGCCTAGCCACATAGAGGGGCCCAAACCCCAAAGAGCACCTTGAGGTTTTGAATAGAGATAAATTGTACTTTTGTTTTTTTGACTACCTATCGCATTTTTGGAGGTGCCAGGAGAGAATAAACACCCACAAAATGACCCCATTTTGAAAAGAAGACACCCAAAGGTATTTGATAAAAAACATGCTGAGTCTTTTGAAGATTTCATTTTTTGCTACAGAATTGTAGAAAATGAAGAAAGAAAATTAATAAAAAATATTTTTTACACAAAGTTGAAAATGTATATGATATTTCTAACACACAGCTTTGACATCCTTAGAATAACACCTCAAAACACATTCTACTAATTCTCCTGAGTATGTTGATACCACACGTCAAACTTTTTCTGCAGCCCAGCCCAAAATTCAAGGCACACCTTGAGGCTTTCAAGGGGCATAAATTACGCATTTGATTCCCTGACTACCTATTGCGTTTTTTAGAGGCCCTGCCGCGCCAAGGCACCTCTTATAGTGCGGTCCTAACTCTAAACCATTGGGATGTGCGGGATCCCTTGTGTGTTTCTGTGCTTTTAAGGAGGCCGGGCTTCCTCCTGACAAACCTGCACCCAATTTGAAATCTTCTGCCCCCATGTGCTCCAAGATGGAGACTCTCATAGTTTAGAGTTAGGACCGCACTATAAGAGGTGCCTTGGCGCGGCAGTGCGGCTTTCACATCCTCTGCAGAAGACGTGTATCCAAACCTCTGTTATTATCCTTAGTGGTGAGACAAGTTGTTTTACATGCTGGTTTGTGAGTGTGCCATGATGCCTTTCTACTGTTTTACTGTTCAAAGCCCATTTCGTGTGCACCTTGTGCGCCCAAAATTCCAAGGAGCACCATGATAACCTACAGGAAGCTGAACAAAGGGTAAACAAAACAGTACCTGTGGTTCCAGAAGTGCAGTTGTCAGCAGAGGATAGCTGGGACTGGTGTTTTGGCTGGAACATTGTCAGTGGGACATGCAGATTGATGACTACAAGCAGCAGACAGATCAGTTCAGGCGGCAAGCAGAGACCTGGTCAGTATGCAGGCAAAGAATCAGTCCAGGCAGCAGGCAGAAACGTGGTCAATAAACAGTCCTAGGTCAGTTCGGGCGGCAGGCAGAGACATGGTCAGTATCCAGGCAAAAGTTAGTTAACGTGGCAGGCAGAGACGTGGTCTGTATCCAGGCAAAGAATCAGTCCAGGCAGCAGGCACAAACGTGGTCAATAAACAGTCCTAGGGGGGCGTGGCCTAGCTATGGCAGAGTGAGGTCGCAACTTGCCGGAGCTCTGCTGCCAGCCCAGCATCTATCAGTTGATCTACGTTAAACTACTTACCTAAGTCGATGTCCAAGAAGGGCAAACCTTCGGGTACTGACGGCGGACGGAATACCAGGGACCTTCATCACTTCTTTGCCTCCCCGGCCTCGTCAACGCGTTCCTCCACCGCGCAACGCATGGCCCCGACTGAGACGCCGAGGCCTACACCATCCACTTCTCCACGGGACTTGCTTGACTCCCCCCCCTCACACCGCATCTGGTGATCGTCCGCTTTTGCTCGACGAACCACGCCGGGAACCGACCAGCCTAGCAACCGGCCCAGCATCGGCCTGCCTCGCGCTCCCGCCACGGGACGCTGCCCGCACAATGGCTGCTGCACCCACACTCTCGGCGGCGGAGATCTCATCCATCCTGCTCTCCCTTCCTACTAAGCAGGACATGGCGGAGATGGTGTCCAGGATGGAAGCCACCCTTAAAAAGGGACATAGCGGGTGTATCATCCACGGTATCCCAGCTTGAAGACCGTGTATCCCACGTGTATCCCCGTGTATCCCACACAGACCATGAAGGGGTATCCCGCAGGCTAGCGGCCCTGGAGTTCAGGGTCCTCCACCAAGATTCCCCGCCTTGCGTCTCTGGCCTTGGCCCATGACGACTTGGAAAATCGTTCACGCCGCAACGTTAAGTTGCGAGGCATCCCGGAAACGACGACATCCGCTGATCTGCGACCGGTGGTCTCGGGAATCCTCAACGCCATACTGGACAAGTCCCCAGATACACCCCTGGAAATTGACCGTGTGCACCGGGTGGGAGCCCCCCGCACTGACGCAGGGACCCCCGGCCTCGTGACGTACTATGTCGTATACACTACTTCACGGTGAAGGACGCCATCATCCGCCAAGCCTGGCGTAAGGGCCCGACCGCGTTTGATGGGACAGAGGTCACGCTTTTACCGGATCTATCTAGACGCACCCTGCAAATGCGCAGACTGTTGCAACCGCTCCTCACTGAGATCCGCCGAGCTGGTGCTCTCTACTCCTGGGGTTACCCATTCTGCTTGAACATCCGCAGAAGCAGGGAGACGTTCATCTTGCGGCACCCTGATCAACTACCAGACCTATTCCTGTTCTTGGAAAGCGAACCAGTGGAAGTCCAGGACTGGCTTCAACCGGACCTCCCAGACGCATCCCGTCCAATGCCCCAACGCAACAGACGTCGAGTCAACTCAAGAAGCTCCTCACGGCCCCGCACTCGGGACACCCGCGTTCCCACACCGGCTCTACCCAACGCAGTCGAAGATCCCACCACACGAGAACTGTGATGGCCTCCGCTGGCACCCTTATCCGCACGACCCGAGGGAATGATCTATTCCGCTGTGAACTGTGAACACCGGACAATGCTACACCGGACAATGGGTCTGCCCGCTCCTTTCCGGGCCACCTTAGATGGGACTTCTCTGGGTGATGTATACTTACCCACGTTAGCAGTTAACAGGTTTAAATGTTTGATGCACCCCGAGTGGGGCTGACTTCATCACCAGAATACCCAGACCACTGTGTCCCACCACCCCCCACTTACTGAGAGTGACCGGGGGAACCCATACATGAACCCAGTTTTTAAGGAACGGCCTCTCTAACTTTGCCCGCGGGCCTTCCCCCAGCACTACGTTAGCACATCGGGCTTCTTGCTTTGACAACCTGAGCCACACCACACCCCACCGGGCCAACACGTCTGCACTCTATACCTAGAGATGACCTCCTGAAACAGGCACCTTGGGGTGATGGGAACACCTGACTGACTGTACCTGTAGCGCTGCCCACACCTACAGCACAGATCTAGGGGGTGAGCCGGGACGACTTAACCCCATAGCAGTGGGACAGAGGAGATACCTCACACACTTGATACCTAACACCCCTGACTGCCCACGGACCCTATCCGTCCACCAGTTAACCACACACACGGGCACCCTAGAATTCTCAGCTACCCACCATTTTGAGGGGACCAGACCCGTTCACACCGCCCCCCCTGTTGTAGACACCCCCACAGGTGTAAGCGGAGTAGCCTCGCCATCCCCAGCGAACAATTTCCATCCACTCCCCGAGTGGACCGTCACGTCACACCCTTTCTTTCTGCTACCAATTACTAATCCAACCTGTAGCACCCGCCCCACTATGTCAAAATGTCAAAATGGGAGGAGGATCTCCAAACACACTTCACTCCGGAAGATACGGAGAAGCTACTATCCCTGTC